GCCATTGGACAGTCAGGTTTGGGCCCACAGTGAGGAGACACACAGGACCTCATGGGATGGGGGTGGAATCAGTCCTTTTCTCCCCACCCCAATGAGACATCGAGTCACCGCCCACGATCGACCTCTCTAGCTACTGATCAAGCTGCTTAACGGTCATGATCCCAGAGACTCAGGAACAAATCTCAGAACCCAGCAGATTTTGGCAGAAATCCCTCCAGATTTAATTGTTAAAATTTTGGAATTCCAAAATCGCGCAGCCTCTACTACAGCCACACAACATCATATGTTATTCATAACCAGCAATAGAAAACAGATTGTCTACAGTTGCCTTTTTAGCATATCTGAGTGTTGGGGTAAAATCCCAAATAATAATGGTGGGGCTGGTGTCGAAATATTGAATGTGATCAAAGTAGAGGGAGAGTAATGTGGAGATCATTTGCCCCACAGGTAAGGAGAGGATGTGTGTGGGGGGGGAGCATACTGGGGTTTTTTGGTGATGAAAATGGGCACTTGTAAAGGAACAGGTGTTTCATCAGTGTATGACCAAGACTTAAACCCGAAAGCTTTGTAACTGCTCTCACAGTGATTCAATAAATAAATTAATAAAAAAGGGGGGAAAAAAGTAAGGTGGAGTTCATGCCCAATTCAATCCGTCTAATCAATGGTTGAATAAATAGCAATACTCCTACATTAAAATAAAAATAAAAAATGAAGAATGGATGGTGATAAAGGGGGAAACGGACCTTGAAATAATAGGATTGAGCAGAGGGATTGAGCACTCTGGTGGTGGGTGTAGAGTGGTTGCACGTATAAAACAGTAATATTGACGTTACCACAAATTACATAATAAATAGTTTAAAATAAAAGATTTCCTAAAGAGCACTGTTCAGGACTCTAGCCTTTTGGGATATTAATAGAATCAGTAATCAAATTAACCTCAGAACTTCTGGTTTCTAACAAGTAAATACATTTTCACACTACAGGACTTCTCAGAGCCTTTGATATGGTAATAACTGCCATGGAAACCCATATAGGAACAGGGATATGCAATGTTTTCAAAACTCATAGGACAAAATAACTGTGGAATACAAATTCATGTTTTCTGTCTGGTCTTTTCCTTTTCCCTTCCAGCATTAGGGGACAAAATAGGCTCTGCTCTTGCTTGCCTCAAGGGAGAGGTATGGCAGGACTTCTTTGTTTTTCAAGTCAAGGGGAGTTAGAGGAATAAGTTTGCAGTGAGGGGATATGAAACATGCTCCATCTGCCCTTGCTTTTCCCAGAGTCAGATCTTTGGGCCTTCTAATCTCAGCAATCGTAGTGTCCCAGGCAGAGTGGACAGAGTAGAGACAGTGCAGAGAGCCAGCCTACAGGAATATATACGTCCAGATGGTGGCCATCCTCACAGAACATGGGTGGGAAGATCTTACCCCAACATTGGCCAAGGCACTCTGAAAGACACCAGAATCTTGACCAGAAGAAGAAAGAACACCATGCATGCCCAAATTAAAATTTCCTGTCCCTCTGGAGGACAAATGGTAGATGACAATTAAAGCAACAGTTTGACAAAAGTGTGTGTGTGTGTGTGTGTGTGTGTGTGTGTGTGTAAGGGCAGTTAGAATGGAAAAGGGACTAACATAACAATAATTGTTAGAACTGATCATTTTGGACAGGAATTGAGTGTTGAAAGTAGGTAAAGGGATATACCTAATAACCTTTCAATATCTGTATTGCAAACCAAAAGGCGCTAAAGGAGAGAAACAGAGACAGAGACAGACAGAGAGACAGAGAGAGACACACAAACAGAGAGAGAGAGAGAGAGAGAGAGAGAAGAAAAGTTTCTGCCACAGAGGCAGGCGGGGAAAGGGGGAAGACGGGAGGGAAACGTGGACCACTGATAGGAAATGTACATTGTTGGTTGTTGAAATATCATATGACTGAAACTCAATCATGAACAACTTTGTAACTGTATATCACTGTGATTAAATTAAAAAATGTAAAGCCACAAGTTGATTTACAGAAAAATAAGATGTAATGTTCCTTGCCCAGCTGGGTATGTGCCTTGAGACTCAGACCTGCACTAAGTGCTTGCTCAGGAGCCTCCTGATTGTTCACTGTCTCAGAGACTGGCTTTCTCTGGAATACATGTAAGATGCTGAGGGAAATTACATCAATTTTAGAAAAGACAGCTGCTGACGAACGTTTTTTTGTTTCTCTTTCAGTACTAGAGATCAAACCCAGAGCCTCACACATGCTAAGCAAGTGTGAGTGTAGCTGGACCACTGAACTGCACCCCTCACTTCTCATCAATAGTCTTGACTCAACGACTTTGACCTCTACTGAAAAGAAGTGTCTGAATAAATAAGGAAAAGAATATTCGTGACCCCTTTGCTTACTGCCCAGAGAGAACTGTAAGCCTTCCAAGGAAACATGTTTATGGGAATTGTGATGTTTGAAACATAACTCTTTGAAAAAGTCATTTTGAAAGCTTATTTTACAGCCATGCTTTTAAAATTCTGGGCTGTAGCGATAGCACAGCGGGTAGGGCATTTGCCTTGCACACAGCCAACCCGGATTAGATTCCTCCGTCCCTCTTGGAGAGCCCAAGCAAGCTATGGAGAGTATCCTGCCCACACAGCAGAGCCTGGCAAGCTCCCCGTGGCATATTCGATATGCCAAAAACAGTAACAACAAGTCTCACAATGGAGATGTTACTGGTGCCCACTCGAGCAAATCTATGAACAGTGGGAGGACGGTGCTACAGTGCTACAATGCTTTTAAAATCCTAGAAAAGATTCGCTTGGGATGCGAGATGCGTGCTGAAAGTAGACTATAGACCGAAAATGATGGCCACTCAATACCTCTATTGCAAACCACAACACCCTAAAGTAAAGAGAGAGCAAAAGGGAATGCCCTGCCACAAAGGCGGGGTGGGATGGGGGGGGGGGGGGGGTAGGAGGGTGGGAGGGCTACTTGGATCATTGGTGGTGAAGAATGGGCACTGGTGGAGGGATGCGTACTCTATCGTTATGTAACTAAAACCCAAGCACGAAAGTTTGTAAGTCTACAACTGTACCTCATGGTGGTTCACTAATAAAATAAAATCCTAGAAAACTCTCTCTCCTCTCTCTCCCTCTCTCTCTCTCTCTTTCTCTCTCTCTCCCTCCCCCAACCCCATCTTTCTGTCTCTCCCTCTCTCACACACACAAATATGCTGGGACAACTTCAAGAGCAAAAGTTGTGATTTCTGCAACAGTGCACATGGCTCAAGTGGTAATGCACGTGCTTAGCATATGTGAGGTCCTGGTTTTGATCTCTAGTACACAGAGCTTCTAAGCATATGTACACACACACACAAACACACACACATCCCATCAGGCCCAAGACATCGCCAGCCCTAGCACTGAACCTTCAGGTCTATAATGCCAGGATGAGTATCACTAGGAATGGCCCCATAAAATAAAAATTGGGGTAAATGGGTCAAGAGTTGTGGGAGATTGTACAGCAGTTAGGGTATGTTTGATATAAAAATACTTGTACTTTAACAAGTCATTGAAATTCAGTTGCTCTCCACTTAATGGTCCCACCAAAGGGACAGATTCACTCCCCATGAAGGTAGGTTTGGCTGTCCTTAGGGGAATGTACAGCAGATTCGATTGGATGGTCCTCATAGGGCACTGAGCAGAGAACCTGGTCCATGGAAAACATATGAGGTGGTGGTTATAGAACACAGAGAACTAACAGGTAGACGGATTTTCTCTTACAGGGAAGTCTAGAGTGGATAGAGGAGTCTGGTTACAGTTCAGGTGTATCAATGTTACAGTTACAGGAAGAGAGGCAAGAGATCACAGGGTTTACAGCCCACTCATTCCCTAACTACAGAAGAGACAGCATCTAATTAAATTCCTATCTTCCAAGAAGCATTTCAGGGTGTTAGACTATCATTACTAATGACTTTAGATATTATCACTCATTTGTCAGAAATAAATCTTCCTTTGGGCACCTAGAAACTGCAAAGGCAGAAGACGGTCTAATGAGATGAATTTCTACACTTGGGGATGACATCTTAAGCCAGCATGAAACGTGTCAGCCTAAACACCTCTGACCCAATGCCTAGGGAGCTGTAGATTTAGAAGGTGTTTGGGACTTTTTAAAAATTAATTTCTTGCTGATTAAAATCTCTTAAAAGTATAGCAATGCCTTTTTCCAGATTCAAATTAACTCCTAAAAAATATGCCTTCCATGAATATAAAGACACTGAGCATTAATATTATTTGTAATAGACACGCTCTCCACATCTCCATTTTTTACTTATTGCCCCCAGTGGTTGTTTTTGCATAACAAGTCACTATTACCTGCTTGTTTCCTACCTGGAAGCCATCTGGAATGAAGGGAGGAAAGATATGGCTCATTCAGAAACCTCCCTCCCACACAAGATATGCAAAAGCAGAATTGGTATTTTTAAATCTACTTTTAAATCTCCTTATCAGAAATCTCTCCATATCAAATTCATCTGTTTGCAGAATGTACTGTCCCATCAAAAACTTTATGCCTTCTCTTGGAACTCAAAATAAGTTTAAAATCTATATATTTTCAGCTGGAGAGATAACACAGGAGGTTAAGACACTTGCCTTGGAATGCTAGGACTGCTGAGTTCAATCCCTGGCACCACTACACAGGGTTCTTCCCTAAGCGCTGCCAGGATTGATCCCTGAGCACAGAGAGATAGCCCGAGCACCATGGGACTCTAAGCACCAGTGGAAGTGGCCCCCAAGTCCATTAGACAACTAAAAAAATAATAATAATAAAACCCATACACTGTTTTCTGTGACCACTTCCTTCTCAAGTTGACAAGCTTCAGAGTCCTTTACAAATAGTCTAAAAAACAGTTCAGTGACTTTTTCTTTTCTTTTCTTTTTTTTCTTGCATAAAGATCCTTTTACAATACTAGATTTAATTTAACCTTAAGCAGTACAAAAGTGACTTGATGAAAAATCAAATGTGTGTTCACTTCAGCAGCACATATACTAAAATTGGAATGATACAGAAAAAATTATCATGATTCCTGTGTAAGAATGACATGCAAATTCATGAAGCAGTCTGTATTTTTCTATCTTTAAATGTTTGTCAGAATTTCACCCTGAAATTTCCTGAGGTTTGCAATTTTTTGTAATTAAAAATTATCACTGACCAAACAATATTAATAGTATTGTAAGCCACAGAATCTCAAACGACACTCAGAAAAAAACAGATTTGAGTTGGCACCATGCTTAACTGGATATGGAACACTGAATGACTGAAACTCAACCGTGAACTGTAACTGTATACTTCATGGTGATTCAATTTAAAAAATTATAAGTAAATAAATAGCACAGCGGTAGAGCGTTTGCCTTGCACGCAGTCAACATGGCCAACCCGAGTTCGATTCCTCCACCCCTCTCGGAGAGCCCAGCAAGCTACCGAGTATCTCGCCCGCAGGGCAGAGCCTGGCAAGCTCCCCGTGACGTATTCGATATGCCAAACACAGTAACAACAAAGTCTCCAATGGAGACGTTACTGGGCCGCTCAAGCAAATCGAGCAAATAAATAAACCCAAAATACATCTGCTGAAGTATTCAGGGATATCTTACCTCCAAGAGTGTTTTGGGTTTTTTGGGGGTTTGGGGTTTTTTTTTTCTTTTTGGGTCACACCCGGCAATACACAGGGGTTACTCCCGGCTCTGCGCTCAGGAATTACCCCTGGCGGTGCTCAGGGAACCATATGTGATGCTGGGAATCGAACCCAATTTGACCGCATGCAAGAAAAACGCCCTACCCGCTGTGCTATTGCTCCAGCCCCGGTTTTGTCTTTAAAAGCAATTGCTTTATTAGATACTTTATTGACAAATTCTGGAAAAAATATTTTATGAATAATTCCTAAGTTATGTATCTTTTTAAATATACATTACTGTCACTTGTACAGTCCTGCTGCTTTTCCATTGGGACAGAAACTTGCATTCAGACAGGTTGCGTGTGAAGAGCCAAGCCAGTGTATTGATGAAAACTGACGGTATGTTCTTCAGGTGTTAGGGTCTGACTTTGTCTGGGCTGGGTGCTGTTAGCTTCTTTACCGATGAAATGTCATGTCAGATTTCGGAAGGGAGAACTTTGGGAACAACAGATCCATCCTGCGGAATTTGGTATGTGGGCAGGTGGTCGTGGCTATCGAAGAGATCCGAGTAGAAGTCATGAATAATCTTCTCCATTGCCGTTCTGAAAGATGTGACAGATCCATCAGGACGTCGGAGGGCAGTCATCTTGGTCTTGTAGTTGGTGAAGGACAGGCGAGCGTGGCAAATGCTTTTCCCGGCTTCTACCGCATCAGCCAGCACTGCTGCTCTTACTCTCTTCCTTTATCACTTCTCTGCACTGCTTTGCGAGCTCGGACGTTCGCTTGTAGTTGCCTGAGGCTTGCTCCAAGCCACGTTGGCGAATGAGCTCGAGAGTTTTCGAAGACAGGCATCTTTTTGTGGCGACAAAAAGGATGACATCCATGACATTGGCAGCTATCGCCCAATCTGCCTGTTGTCTGTCGTCTACAAACTGTTCACTTGAGTCATCCTGAATAGGATTGGCAGAACACTAGATGAAGGACAACCATGCAAGCAAGCTGGGTTCTGAAAAGGATTTAGCATGATCAACCATATCCACATGATAACCAAGCTCATTGAGGCTTCTCAGGAGTTCAAGATGCCGCCCTGTCTAACCTTCATTGATTTAAAGAAGGCCTTTGATTCTTTTGAGACTGAAGCAGTCATCGAAGCCCTAGCCAAACAGGGCGTTCAAACTCAATACATCAGGATCCTCTTGAGCTGTATTGTGGATTCACTACCAGGATCTCACCATTCTACAGGGAGGTGATCATTGACGTCAAGAGAGGGGTTCGGCAGGATGATACCATTTCACTGAAACTCTTCAGTGCCACCCTCGAGAACGCCATGCAACAATTGGAATGGGAAGTAATGGGAGTGAAGATAGATGGTCGGCAACTACACCACCTCTTGCTTCGCTGATGACACCATTCTAATAACACCAAATATTAGCCAAGCGGCACAAATGCTGGCCAATTTTGACCGTGAGTGTGGAAATGTTGGACTACAGCTGAATCTCACGGAGACAATGTTTATGAGAAATCGTCTCGTTCCTGATGTTCCATTCACTCTCAATAGAACAAACACTTCGAATGCAACAGTTATGTGTACCTAGGTCGAGAAGTCAACATGACGAATAACTTGGTAACTGAGTTACGCAGGAGGAAGAGAGTGGCTTGGAATGCCTTCAAGAGCATCGAAGAAATAGCTAAGAGAATGAAAAACCTCTGACTCTAGGCACATCTCTTCGATTCCACTGTTACTCCTGCATTAAAATACACCTCAGAGACCTGGGCCCTACTACGAAAACAGGATGAGAATTATTTGAGTCTCCCTAAGAGGAATAGAAAGAGCTATGCTTGAAGTATCACACTTCACTCAAATGAGAGAAAGAATCCATAGTTCCGACCTCCATTGACGATCAAGAATCAGGGACACTGTCTCATTTGCCAAGGCGTCGAAAATCAGATGGGCTGGACACTTAATGCGATTTGGAAATGATCACAGGAATAGAGTCATTACCAATGGATTCCACGGGATGTCAAAAGATCAGTTGGCCGTGGCCACCCACCTATGAGATGGTCATACTTCTTTGTCAAGACCCTGAATGATCGATTTGCCGCTCTTCGTGTTCCTGGAGTGAGCAGATACCATTGGGCTACACTAGCATGTGACAGGGACACAAGAGTTATGCTTGGAATATCACGTTTCACTCAAACGAGAGAAAGAATCCGGAGTTCTGACATCCATTGACGATCAAGAATCAGGGACACTGTCTCATTTGCCAAGGTGTCAAAAATCAGATGGGCTGGTCACGTAATGAGATTTAAAGATGACCGCTGGACTAGAGCTGTTACCGACTGGATTCCACGGGATGTCAAAAGACCGCGTGGCCGCCCACCTACCAGATGGTCAGACTTCTTCGTCAAGATCATGAACGATCGGTTTGAGGCCCTTCATGTTCCCGGAGCGAACAGATGCCATTGGGCTACACTAGCACGCGACAGGGACAAATGGAGACGTTACTGGCGCCCGCTCGAGCAAATCGCCGACTAATGGGAAGTTAAATGATTAAGTGATTAACCATGTGACAGGGATGAATGGAGATGTTACTGGCGCCCACTTGAGCAAATCAATGAGTAACAGAATGCCAAGTGATCAAGTGATTACTGTCACTTGTGTTTCAAAAAAAAATTAAATAACATCAAACATGCAAGCAGGTATTAGATGACCCTTGACCAAGCAGATACAAGGCATGATAGTCCTGAGATCAGACCAGTTATAGTCACCTCCAAAATCTGCCACTGGCAAGTACTCCCTGTATTTCTCTTTCCTTATCCACTGATATGGACATCAAAGGAGCCTCCTCAAGGATCAGTGTGGGTATTAGACATGTACTAATTATGTGCTGTGAAACACTTAGGGAGGTTCTTGGTCTGGAGTATGCACAAAGTTTTAACTGCAAAAATATTGATAACACAGATCATAATCATAATAATATTCATGCTCCTGTTGTTCATGAATGTGTGTAGCTACCAAAGCTATTCTATGGATGTTTGTGGAAATTAATCTGTTTTTTATACAGACAGTGATGAGTTTCATTGCCTAGATTGTTGCTGCCCTGATTGGTTCTTCCTAAGAAATGTCAATGGTTCAAATTCACCTTTTTGCTTCTTGGCTTCCAACAGCAAAACCATACACATGTGAATAGCAAATGACAAAAGCATATCACTAGTAATAAGAAGGCAACTTTTTTTTTGCCTTTTGGGTCACACCTGGCAATGCACAGGGGTTACTCCTGGCTCTCCACTCAGGAATTACTCCTGGCGGTGCTCAGACCATATGGGATGCTGGAATCAAACCCGGGTTGACTGCATTCAAGACAAATGCTCTACCTGCTGTGCTATTGCTCCAGCCCCGAGAAGGTAACTTTATAGACTTCCATTCAGCTCAGGGCTTGGAGAGAGGAGTCAACCCACAATTCACTGACTTTAAGACCTATTTCCTGAGGATGCACTGCCCCACATAGCAGAGTTGCCTGTGTTTATTACTAATGCAAAAGAGTAATCCTGGCAATGTACACCTCTCTACAGCAGTCTGCATATAGAGGCTGTCTAGCAGACAGGCTATCATACCCTGAGGAGGCCAAACGCTGTAGAGCTGATACACTAATCTTACCTCTGAGAATAAGAAAATAATTCAAATACAGGAGAAAAATATATGTGTGTGTGTGCACTGCCTTTGCAACCAGCAGTAGGGAGATGATTAAATAAATGATGATATATCAACTTGATAGACCATTATGGTACAATGTTAAAATAATTATGGCTATGTAGCAACATGGAGTTAAGTGGGAAAAGCAGAATACAAAATCGAGTCTTGTTCATTAGTGCATTGTTTGTGAAGGGAAAAAATGAGAACCATGAATGTCATCAATAGAATAGTTAAATATATTATGATACATACCTATTAGTAAAATTACACATACCCATTAAAAACAATAAGGAAGAGCTATATGTCTGAGATGAGAAGTTCTCCAAAACATTTCATGAAGTAGAAAAACATAAGTTCTAGATTGCCATGTGAAACAAAATTCCCTTAAATCCAATTGGTGTATGTAAGTATATGTGTATATATATAAGTATACCCAGTCAAAGGTCTGAAAAGTTACAAACTCAGCACTAACTGGTATTATGCCTGAGAAGAAGGATAGTATAAGATGATTAAGTAAGATTAAGGTCCTTGTCTATTTTATTTTGTTGTTGAAGATTTTTATTATTTGGATTATTACATATTTTTATTTTTAATAACTTTTAAGACTATATAATTATTTCACCTCGGTTTAAAAATAGATGCACATGGATTGGAGAAAAAGTAATCTAGATGTTGAAATTCAAGACTAAACAATTCTTTCTGTGTTCTGGTTTACAGGGTGTGGAGAATCAATAAAAACAGGAGAAATAGCACTGACAGCTAGTAA